TTGAAACCTAATCAAACTAAATTCCTTGGTCCTAAGTAAACAACAAGCTTGCACTATGGATGTGCAACATCGGCATATTGAGCAACTTTTAAGCAGGAACCAGCAATGCTCTGAGAGTGGGAAAAGACAGTCTTTTTTCCAATTTCAAAGAAAAATTCAATAAATTGAATTTATTGAATACTTAACTTAAGTTGTTAAGTATAGCACTGTTGGAAAAAAAAATACCAGAAAATCACAATTGTAAAATAATTTGAGTTCCCACATTAATAATACCACAGTATCTCATATAAGAACCTTATTATTTGGGGGGGTTGCCTTTGAAGAGGCTTTTATTTGCTTGTTTGATTGTTTTTTTGGCTAAAACCTGGCATATGAAAACTGGCAAGAATGAGGAATTGCAACTTGCCCAAATTTCCCAAAATGTTGATCAATGTCACAACACAGAAGAGTAGGGTAAATTCCCAATGAAGTCAGATACTAGAGAAACAGAAACAGTTGCAAGAACACAGATTAGAGAAGTACAGAGTGCCAAAATATAAGACTCTGTGTGTTATATCAATAGTGACAGTTGGAAAACAGGAATTACATTCTGCATGCAAGGAAGATAACTGTGACAGGAAGGATACAGTTTCACACTCTTCCTTGAAATCAGAAGTGCACTGTTTTCAGTGGAGCTTGCTGGGACAGCTTTCTTAGGTAGAGGAAATAATCTTTTTGGGCCAAAGTGAAAACAAGTAGCATATTTGGCATGCCAGTAGGGTCTTGGCTAAAAGAAGTTTATGCACTGCAAAGGAAAAGGTGGAAGACTGTTCGAATCAAACAGCGTAAGAGCATGAACCTTATTTTCATGTGCTTTATTTAAATGCCTCGTTACTTTGCTACAATGGGAGCCTTTTCTCACCCAGAAAAGCAATCCCAAAACTAATTATTTTAATATCAATTTCACTTAAATTCCCTTGGAAAAGTTTCTTTTGAAGAATAGGAATTTTCTGACAAAAGATATATTTTGCAAAAAAAATTACATCGAGCCTATATTTCTAGTACCTCTACTACTTTCCGCAGATATATAATGCCAATTTTTTTTCATCCTCAGCTAGAGCTTTTTTTTTTCCCAAAATAATTGTTTTATATCTGCAGTTCCACTCTGTCAACACATTGGTAATAAAATAAAAAGAATAAAAAGAATAAAAAGAACACTTAGCTCAATTTTCTACATTATTCTAGCAGCGTCCTTTGTAGAGGAAAAGTAAAATGTGACGTGCATACTATTACACAGATATATATATATATGTATATGTATATATATATGTATATAAGAACACAGGAAAAATATTACTATTTTCCAAGTACCTTTGAATCAGGGATGTGTAATTAATTTCCTCTTCCCTTGTTCTTGATTCTCTTTTGTGTCTTTTTTTTCTTCAACATGAATCCAAGAACTTAAAAAAATTGCAGTAACTACAAATAAAATCTGAACTATTAGTTCCTTAGGTCTATGATTGAATCTTTGGTTAATTTCCTGGTCAGTGATGGACCTGTGGTTCTATGTCCAGGGAGAAAATTTGGGGGAAGGGTACTGTGCATATTCTTCTCCAGAATTTGTGAGTTTTTGCCTCTGGCATTAAGGTTAGAATGTCCCTTCCGATTAAGGTCTGCTGCAAAACTCCTGAGGATGTGACCGCACATTTCAAAAAGCAGAGAAAATGAATGTTACTTCAAATTAGTTCTTTGAGTTAAATATATGCTAGAATAATAAAGGGAACTGAGTTAAACACCTTTTCTTTTTATTTTAACACTAATTTGATATGCCTGAGTAGCACTGGGAATATAAAATATCATTAAAAACCCCCAAACAACAAACCATAATTATAAAAATGCTCTTTTAAAATTTCTGAGAACGCAATTTCTTAATTTTTGTTAGGCATTTTGAGCAAGTCTTCATTTACTGGAGGCTGAAGGCCTTAATGATCTGGGATGATCTCTCTCTTAGCAATTCCCCTTAGTAAAGCCTGTTTCTAATCTACTTTGTTGCTATTTCTCCTATTATGTAGCCCAATATGTGAACATGCTGGAATCTACAAACCAAAGGAGAACTACTTGTTAGCTCTGAAAAATTTTCAAATTTAGTGTGCATTGCATGTAATTTTTAAGGTGAAATAAAATGTTAATAATCCTCAGAATGTGTACTGATCGTTAGCAATGCTTGTATTTATCCCATATAAATACAAGCACATTTTCCCATATTTCAGAGGTGAAAATTCTAGGATCAGTTCAAACTTAAAATAAAGCTGATCTAAAATAGGAGAAAATATGGAGGCATTTCTTTCGGTTGGTGGTGTCAGTGGGATCTGAAGGCTCCAGACTATACTACTTTAAGTAACTAAATCAGTGTAGATGACAAGAAGAGCTGCTTGTCATCTTTTCTGTGTTGTTTGTAGACATAGGAAAAACACAGTCTGTCTTCAAAAAGCTTTTTCAGGTAATAGTGTATCTTTCTTCATGCAAATAAATGAAATATAATTCAGTTCTGAATAAAGACATGTTTTCTTTGTGTGGTCCATGTCAAAATTCCTTTTTCCCACATCATAAGAATCTTTTCAGTACACTTTTAAAGAAACACAAATAACAATTTCCATCACTAGTCACTTTAAAAATAAAAACATTATTAGCAGTAAATACAGATATCACATATAGCAAACAGAAGAGTAAACTTAGGTATCTCTTAATGTGTAATCAATTTTGCTGATTTTTTTAACCCTCCCACAATCCAGTCTGAATTGGCCATGATCAAACTGGCGAGATAGGTCAAACACCAGTTGAGCATGATATAAACCAATACAGAAATTCCCAATAAACCATGTGCTGAAAATAAAAAAAAAAAATCAAGTCAGGTCTGACTGATAAATATCACATTGTTACTACCTGAGGGAACTACAGAGGAACAGGCTAAGAGAGTTTGGTTTATGTTGACTTTAAAACAGAGTATAAACCCCATTTTAACTTGCTTTGCATGATACATACATTATAAATCCAGGGGGGAGGGAGTGTTTCTGGTTTATGTTAATAATCTTTCATTTTTAAAACATTATATTTTTAACTTTTCTGCTAGAATTTAAAATGAAATTAAGATTTGTCAGAATAATACTTCCACTAGTAGCTGCTAGAATATAATACCAAGAGAGTTCTTGAAAATATTTGGAAAAACTGTGTTGAGCAGCCTTAATGAACTTAACTTCATTAGTTTTTCCCTTTTTTAATTTTGATCTCTAACAATTGGGAAAATAAAAAACAAAGTATTTTACCATAAGTTATTCAACATAAGCCATGTGCCTGTGAAAAATGAGAAGATTGGCTTCACTCACTTTTCGTGTATAAACTTTTCCCAACTGAGACCATTCTGTATAAACAAGAAATATGAAGAAAATGTAAGCCTTGTACAAAGTTTCTCAGGGGTAAGTGGGATTTAGACTTTCAGCTATTGAATGGTTCAGCAGACCACTGTACTATACCAGAAGGCATGTGAGAAAGTGTAGATTTTAGTGGATGACACAAACTCTCATAACTTAATTTTGTGAGGTTAGGTTAGAGTCCAATTTTTTTTTATTATTTGTAGGTGTGTTTTTATTTTTGAGGATGGTTCCTGTTTCAAATTAAATAATATCCAAATTTATTTTAGCAAGGTGATAGCATTTCTTTTTCTTATATATCATTCTTATGTATTAGAACTTTTTTTTTTTTTTTTTAAGTAGAACATATCAGAGAAACTGGTGTTTCTCATGGGATTGCATTTCCATCTAAAATTTAAATAAGAAATCTGTTGAAAGATGCCTGTCCTCAGGGGAATTCTATTTCAATGTTTTGACTAAGTAGAATTGGCTGATTTGTTATAAAGTATTGAAATTCTGAGATTATTATATTTGCTGGTTTTATGACATTTATTTTGTGTTTTTAGTCAATTGCTATAAGAGTAGACAGCTATGTTTCTTTGGCAACTACCTTAATATCTAACTGTTTTCAAAGAATATTTAGAATATTGCACAAGAACACCCCCAGTATCCTGACTTACGCAGAGTTTGTATTTCAATTGTGGGTTTTTCATAGAGTGTAAGCTGACTAAAATATGTTGCAAGTGTATGTTTTTATAGCTGTTTACATCTTTTTCACATCCTTCTACTGTGGCAATGGATTTGCCATATGCAGGATGGAAAAACTCCTGTCAGAGATGGATTGGTGAGGGGAGGTCTCCCCAATCCCACTAATCCGTCGTATTCTACTCCCCCTTCAAAAGATAGAAAAAACATAGAAAGAAAATGGAAGAAACAAACTTTCTGTTATAAGTTTGTGGCAGTTTGAGCCACATTAGAAATCCAAAATCCAATTTCCAAGCTTCCCCACTCCTTCCCACAATTTATCCTAACACTGAAGAGAAAACTTTCAGGCAAGAGGCTTCTATAGGGGAAGGGGAAGTATTTACATTTATTTACACAAATAAATATACTGTACAAACTAAAAGCAACTATATATATATATTATTACACTTCTATCAGTCCCTCCGAAGCTTCTCCTTTTAACTTTAGTCCAAGAAAAGCCTTTTCAGGCTGATAAGTAACCAGTCTCTCTCTCGTGGGAGTGTTCGGGGACCTGAACGCTCCCCCCTCACCAAGCTCCAGCTGTTTGTGGAAGTCCTTCCTTCCTCATGAAGTCCAAGAAGGTAGCTCTGAGTCCTTTCTCCTTGATCCTGTATCATTTCTGCTGTGTGATCTCTCCCTCTTGGTCTCATACCTCGGTTCTGTAGGTTGCTGTAGTGTAGCTTATCAACGTAGGTGTCCTCCAAGTCAGTTTTCAGCTGCCCCTGGTCAAACTTCGGCAGGGCAACTCCCGAGCCCTTTGCCCCATCTCCAATTTCGCCTGGGATTCTTTTCCCTAGCGCCGAGCTGTTTAGTTATCAGCCCGTCCACTTGGCTCTGCTTCAATGCTGAGCAGCACTTCCATTGATCAGTGAAAGGGAAAAACAGGCCCCTTCTGCAGCCTGGCTGCAAAGAGGGGGAAAGAAGAAGAGGGCCTGGCCTCAAGACCTGCCTCTCTCTCTCTCTCGCTTACCAGTTGTTTGTGAGTCACATCCCTCACAAACATACACTCACTCCAACGCTGTCTCTAACTCTGGCCTAGGCAGAGCTGGGGGGGCCACAGGGCTCCCCTCTCCCCCCTGGAGGTGAGGGAAGAAAGAGCCCAGCCACCCCTGGCCTTCTACACCTACACGCAGCAGACACCAACAGAGAGATATGCCAACAGCTTCAGGTGCTGTGTACATATGATTTTTAGCAGAAGCGAACAATACGAGTGGTGATTGGCTCTCCGGAGAACACTGCCCTGGCACCCAGTCACCTCTGAGCCCCCGACTCCCGGGGGGGTCAATCTTAACCCATGACAAAGTTCTTACTCAGCCTTCTGACATTGTTGTACTATTTTGAAAAGAATTTTCTAATTATGCAGTCCCAAATATTCTTCCACCTATTAGTTTTTGAATAAGGGATATTGAAATTGGTGATTTCCACTGAAATATATCATAACACATATTTCATTGGACTATGAGATAGCATCATGACAAAACATTTTATTTCGAAAAATAAATTACATATGAATAAAGGTCAAAAAATAAAATTTAAAAACCCCAAATTAATTCTGTTTTCCCTTAATTACATTTTATATTTTTTAAACAGAATTTGGAATTATATTTAACTTTATAGACTGGTACAATTCCATGTAATATTTTTTTTAAGAAAGGAAATGTTTAGCAATTTTACTTGTAAATTAAAAACATCGTAGCTCTGGTTTTATGGATGAATAGCAAAGGTGTCTTTATGATACAGTGATTGTACTTTCCTACTTTGTCTATTTGCAGCTTGAAAACATGAAAGAAAGCCACAGACAGTTCTAAGAATAATGAATCACATTCATCTGGTTATTAAGCTTTTCAACTAATGGGCATCACACGATGTTAGAGAGAAATTTATTTTTGTTGCAGTTTACTAACATGATGTCAGATGCTGTTAGTAAATATGATATTAGTTGAATATCAGCTCACACTCCTTTTCTTGCCTGGATTTGTGCATCTTGTCTTATAGTTCTTTTCAGAAAAGAGCTCATGAGCATGCTACATTATTTATGTATATATCATTATATCTTACCAGAAAGAGATAGAGAAGTAACAGAAAAGAGAGTTTAATTGTGAATGTCTAATGAAAAATAATTTTTGAGGAAGTATAGACTTCATCATATTTTACAAACAGAACAAACAAAACGAGTTATTGGAAGATTTCCTGTGGAAGGCAATAATTACAACAGATTCAGCCCTAAATTTTTCTTAGGGCACGGTAGTGTTTTAAATTAATAACATTTATATACTAAAAAACTAATAAAAAAAGAAAAATAAAAATAGTAATTTAAAACAGATAATTTTCTTCATAAGGTATGAGGAAAATAAGAAATTTTCATCCTTATACTATTGAAGAATATTGAGATGCATTGTTTTAGCATAATGTGCTTCATTATTTCTCACATTTGTTCCTGCCCTACTTAATCATATCTATTCATTACAGACCTGTTCATACTCTTTCCTTTGTGATGAGTCATGGCAAGAGTGGCATGAATGTCCTGTATTCTTTGGTCTGCGGAGCTGTCGTAACATAAGCCGGATTTCTGCATCGTTATTTTATTACTTCACAGCATTAAATAAATGTCACAAAGAAATAGGCTTACCCAGTAAGTTGTACTTCTAAAGAAATAATAAACACTCAAGAAAGTAAACCAATTTCTTTTCTAACAGAGTCTTTATCAAAATATTAGAACTAGCAAAAGTTGAGCTGTGTTTGTTGCGAATACATCTTCACCACCTGAAGCAAGTATGTTTATCCTGTAATCCACCTTCCAGGGTTTCAGTTGTCTGTGATCCAAATTCTGGTTTGGACACAGAATATCTGTGTAACTCTGGCTTAGACTTATGTTCACACGGAAATGAGAAAAAGCAGAGAGGAAATTTAGAAGCTAGAGCCATGCAAAATAACAGAAGTAAAAAAGCAGATAAGGATGAGACAGTTTAGATAGAAATAGAGAATATTTGAATACTAATAATAGTAGCTCAAGGATTCAAAATAAAAAATACTGGAATGAAAATCCTGAGGGAGTCAGAAGAAGAATATGTCACCCAGAAAATGGATCAACATTTAGCCTAATAGCTTGTTTAGTCCTACCTGTCTCATCTGTGTACCATTTAGCAAATATGTGTTTTATACTCTTTCCAGGTAAATATACTTGTTATGGCATCTGTTTGGGTACAGTTGACTGAAAAGAAGGGACAGAGGAAGAAAAGGTAACAGAAAGATAAATCCTATGCTTTTGTTAGTGTGATTCTTAACATGATGGCTGACTAAACTGTAGACATTTTCTTATATTTTAGAATGATTCTTAATTTCTGTATTACAATTCATATTCTTAAACAAGCAACCATTCCTCAGTACTGTGATGTAATGTTAGTGTTATCACAGTAAACTGTTGGTTTACTGTGAAAGTGCAACTTGGTTTTGTTTGCTTTTTTTTGTTGTTTTAATACTGATGGTTTGCATGTACCGATTTTAATATACTTCTATGTATCAGAAACAAATTCAAATTCTATTCTACCAGAGTAGCACTTGTATTAATACTGATGTGATTTGGTAGCCTTCAAGGGAAGGAATTGTGAACTCTGACACAGAGAAATAGGATTGTTCTGTAACTTGAAACTTGGAATTTATCAATTTATAAAAGGTATGCATTCCACTAATGTGTTTGTTTCAAGTATATATTTCACTTGCATAGATATTTAATTCTGTAAAACTATATTGGTATTGTTTCATTATGAAGCATTCCATGCTATGTTGCTCTTTTGTGGTTCATGTAAAGTGTTTTCTGCTTTCATGTCTTATTTCACTGAAGTTTTAATGAGTGCGTGATAACTTTGGTATAAATAAAATAGAAAAGTTGCAACAGATGAGGAAGGAAGCCATCATGGTCTGGTATTACTGCAGGTTACTTATAACAGCAATCAGAATGTTGCTTTCTGGGGAGTAAAAACTGTAATTTTCCTAAGCAGGCATAGAAAATACAAAATTTGTTTGATGTACTGCTTTATTTTTGCTCCTTGAAAACAGAAGTGGTTGTTAAAATTCTCTATAGGCAAGAGAAATCACGGCAGCATAAATATTCATTCCCATTAAAGAAGTAAAAACAGTTCATATCCCTCAGTTGGGGGAGCACATTGTAAACCAAATTGAACTATGGTTGATTTGGTACCATCTGAAACTAATGTAAGACTAGAGTGGAACTGCCTGGGCAACAGGAAAATAATTAATGGGTGAGTTTTTTAACACTTTCTGCACTGTATTTTTTTTTTCTCATTGATTTTGTTCACATCATAATAGCACACTAGGAAGTTCTGGAGATTTTGGGCCTGCAACTAAGACTTTACCTAAAACATATCTGTGAAAAATAATTAAATTTAGGAAAGAAAAATAAAGCAGGAATTCAATTAGACAACAGAAATTATCTTCAGTATTCTATGTCATCGGCCAAAGAACTGAAAAGTTTAATTCTGGACACTTTTACACCACAAACAACTTACAATAAAAGCTACATTTCTAGACAGGTAAATGACAGAGATTCAGTAAGTAGTTAGTGTTAGGATGTCACTGTAGCAAACCATCTCCTCAGTGTTTGGACTTCATATCAAGATTGTGAACAATGGGCAATGCTGTTCTAATGTCTTACTTTTCACACTGCCTTGTATTTTCAGGTCCAGACTGATAGTAACATGTTCTCCCTTAAGAATTTGTTGAAACTTACAGAAATGAATAAAACATATGTTTTATTGCTTCTAAGGAATATATAGTCTGGTCTGTGAGATGAGTATTAAGGTAAAATTTCATCTTTAACAGGTGTGGCTTTGTTCTCTCTAGGAAAAAATCTATTAAGGCACCAGAGCAGTCTTCCCAGCTGCTACTAATATCTCACTGCTTATAGGGAATAGTTTTTACATTATTTATTTCATTCTACTTTCTTTACTTTTCTTCCATGTTTCTATTTCTCCTGGTTTTGTGAGTGTGTAACAAGGAACTGAAATATGTTTTCTGACATTTCCTGCTCCATCTCTTCAACACTTTCCTCTGTACGCCTATGCTATGCAAACACATTGTATTTCTTTATTTATACTTGCTAATCCCTTACTCTCTATGGTTTTTAAATACCTACATGGGATACATGGAGTTTAAGAGGCTATACATATTTTCCCAGCCCATTATATTAAGACCAATTTTCATTGTATTTCTTCCTTTCTTAAAAGGTCAAAAATAAGATAGTCACTGGGTTCACAGGAAAGCAAGCATCCTCTTGCACAATGCATAACTATGCATACCAGAACAGATAGAAAACTTTGGAAAGTGAATTTAGAGACTAGATGATTAATCTTTCAACTTTTGAATGATGTGCCATGTACAATGCATCAATGAAATGTGCTTCTCTGTTGCAGTCTGATATACCTGGTGTACTCTGACATTTCCTTCATATATATGGGTGTTCATTTGAAAAGTATTGCTGGAGGTAGAATTACAGCTTTGAGGTTTAGATTGGTGATGGGTGAGACTTAAGTCTGGAATTTCAGTTTGATCGAGATGAGCATCTAAATGTTCACAGGGTTAGCTGAAGCTTATTATGACTACACAAGCCTCTCGAGTCTGCAAAATCGGGGCAAAATCTGGAAAGAGGATTTCTTGTCAGATTTTTTAGCAGTCTCAGTCTTAGAAAAAAAATGCCATGAGAACAACTTTTCACAATATTTTGGCATCTCTGTGTCCAGCCCTAGACATAACATGGCACTGAAAGAACAACTAGAAGCATAACTCCTGCCTGAGTTAAAAAAAGAAATTTCTGTAAGTTTAAGAAGTGAGACAATTTTTGCCAGTCTCTGGGAATATTTTTGTCCCTCTCTTGAACTCATTCTGCACTCTTTAGCCAGGCTCTGGAGAGAAATGATGCACACATATTAGCCCATTTCATTAAGTAAAAGGCAGTCATTGCTTTAGTCCTTGAGTAAACTCATCTTTTAATGTGATAAACAGCTACAGCTTTATCCTGCAGTTATTTCTTTAACAGCATGTGACAGTGTCAGTGGGACAGGCATGTTTTTCTCTAACAGCCACACCGCCATAAACATTTATGCTAAAATGTCATGAAGACATTTCATTTTCAATATTTTTTAATGTTCCACTCGAATTGCTAAGTCAAAAACAGGAAACAATGAATATTTCACTCAGCCCTTCTTCACCCAGATCGAGTTACTTTTCAATCAAGTAAAAATAATTAAAAATAAAAACCATGTTTTGAATTTCAGAAGACTCTTATAGCATGATTAACTTTCACTAAGTTTTAGGGATATAGATTATGCACTTACCATTACACACAGCATTCAAAGAAGGACTTAATTCTGAACCCCACAACTCACAGAGATTTCCAGCAAATACCTTCCTGTGGTCTCTATGATTCCTTTATTTACCTGAACCATCTCATTTCTGCTCTTCATCGTCTATTGTATGTTCCCAAACATATCTCTTTAGTAATTGTTATGAATATTATAAGGTATTTTAATAACATAGGAGTTATAGAAAAAATAAATTGATTTGAAAATTGTACTTTTTCGTTAAGGACACAGAAATAAATTATATAATAGTTAGATTTAAAGAAAACAAATGTGAGCCATAACCTCTATTTCCTTAGATACTTTAGAAAGAATACTCCCACATTAATCCAACAAATATTCAAAGGCAGAGGGTAGAAAAAAAACAAAAAAAAATGTTGATCTGCAATATTCAGATACAAGAGCCTAGCATTTAGTTTAGGAATTATTCTTTTATACTGCCTAGCATCTAATTAATTAGTTATTACAATTTTATACATAATAATATCAATTACAGTGCCATTTGAATAATAAACAGGTTAAAAACCCCCAATATTTTACATTAAGTTACTTATTTTATATTTCATTTCATGAAACATGTAGTATTAATTGTTGCCAAATATCAAGATTATTGTTGAAGACTGTGTTATGAAGTTTATCTAAAATATTGTGTGTTAAATATCTGTTGCTTGATAGCATATTCAAGATTTTATGTCCCTATCTAGGAAAGAATACATACAACATACCATAACATCTGCAGCTTAGAAGAGAAGAGCTCGTATTGGCATTTGAAAAAAGACATATATATTCCTTTAGTAAATAAGGAGCCAATTGCCTACGAGAAAATCCTAATTTGTTACAACAAAGGAACCCATTAAAAAAGGATTTACCTTACTCATACAACTAAAGGAACCCAATGTTTCCTAATACAAAAAACATTGTCAAAAGAGCCGATTTATTTTGATAAACCTGGGGGTTAACTGAAATATATTGTTCATCAAGAAAAGAGTGTATATATATTATGTTGAAAATCTGGATTTAAAGACTTTTCCATTTGACTAAAGAAGAGATCTTGCTGTGCTGTATAGTTAGATAATGCATTAAAAGCATAGGGTTTGCTTCCTATATATATATCCTATACTTATCGATGCACATAATTATATTTTTCTTTCTTCTTTTACTGAAGCAGAGAAGAAGCTATGTACATTCTCTGAATATTTTACTAAGTGAAGCTAACCTTTCTTTGGTCATACTTCAGTGTAGAAAAATAAGTAGTAAAAAAAGAAGAAAGAAGGTACTGAGTAACTCTATATGAGATCCTGTGAAAAAATTTAGATAATTCTCCAGACAATCAAAAAATCCTTCATTATGATCCATCAGAAACTCCTTTTTATATTTTATAATCAGGAAAATAAAAATCCTTGAATGTTCCATTTTTTTCTCCTTTTTTTTTTTTGCTTTCATTATGAATGATTTTAGAAATTAGAAATAGACATGAAATAAAAATATTAAGAATATTGCGAAAAGGAATAACATAAGTATGGCTGCAGGCAAATGTGCTTTGTAAAGTAGACAGACTCAATTACCAGTTACTGTTTATGGTAAGGGTGTAGAAGTAGGCATTTTTCTTACCAAGCAAAAATTATGAAATTGATGGATTTCTTTTTTAATCAAGAACTCAGAAAGAGTACATGGTAACTCCTTTATTATTTGAGATAGGAATGGTCATTAACTGCTCCCTCAGGCAATCCTAACCAGTCCCTACAAAATTTTTACGAATACTTCAGAAGTAATTTTCAGTGAGCAATTTTTCATAATCACAATATACCATTTAAAATTTGATTCATGGTTAAAGAGGAAAGAGAAAGAGTATGAATATATTGACAAATATAAAAAAAAATAATTTAATCAGAAGAGAAAGGGGTGGGGGGGAAGGAAGAAAAAATTTCAGCTTTGATGAGAATGTTCAGACATCCTGCAAGACTCACAGATCCACACAAAGACAGTTTTAGATAATTTCTCAATTAG